AAAGTTCATGGAGTCTCTGGAGCACCTCCCTCAGGAGGCGGTACCACCACCCACGCGGGACAACCCCTACGGAGGTTAAGAGACCAGGAACATGGCACACGCACGAACAAGAAGCTCGCAAGGGCAAGGGGGACACGCGTTCCTGACAGCGACTCCCACCGACCGAGCTCGAGAGATACCATCGAACGAATTCGTCTACGCGACGAAACGCGCCTTGGGAGTTGAAGAATTCTCGGCAGAAAGATGTCCCAGGTGCCACAGAGGCAGGGAAGGCGAGATCATCACAACGGTGCACGCAAGGGCCTGTCCAAGGGATGGAGCACAGGTCAACATGCACGAGCCGTTAAAATACGCACTATCGAGAGCACTCAACGGCCTTCGCGTCAAACACGACGTTGAAAGCGGGGCACCGTTCACAGGGGAAAGGAACCTGAGCATGGACATCGTCATCAGGCCAGGAGCCCTCACGAACGCATCTTCTCCGGGGTACCGCAACAAAGGAATACTCCTCGATGTCCCACACGCAGACCCGCAAGCACAGGTACACTTGCGGAACGGCAGCGCGACCAGCGATGGAACCGCAGCCCAAGCATCCGAGGCGCGAAAGCGTCATCACTACGCTCGTCCGGGACACGTGTCCTTTGACGAACGCAGCTATAAACCTACCACCTTAGCCGTGGAAAGCTTTGGCCGCCTTGTAGAGGAGGGTTACGAGCTCATCGATGAACTTGCCACACATGCCGTGGGAGGAAGGGACGGAGGAACGATGGCTCTGAAAGGAGTCTTCAAGGAACGACTTCTTCAGATCGTTTCGGTGGCTACACAGGTGGCCATATCTCGGCGAGTGCAGAGGTACAAGCTCGCATTGCGCGGGCGTCAAGACGCCGAAAACAGGCGAACAAGATCGACCTCGGACCAGTCAACGCCAATGATATGGGGATGGAGTGTAGACGCATCGTAGAACGCGTTTTCGTTTGAAGTTGGCGTCTTGTTTGAGAGTAGATGTGACAGATTTGCGTAGAATAGGGTAAGATGTTATCATGAACGGAGAAGAAAGGGCTTTTCCAACACGGAGATGTAGCATGGATCAAAGCATTTGTTGGATTTCAGCTTTTATGAGAGGACATCAACGCAGTAGTATTTTTGCAAGCTTACGAACGCATATAGGATACCATGAGGATTGTCATTGGTTTTATTTCAAGTGGAAGAGGAGATATTTTTACGATGTAAGTGACAGTAGAAATAAGTCCTACATGTGTTGTTGTACTTCGTATTGGTTTAATAATCATATAGAGTATGAGACATTATATAAAAGTTGTCTGAGGTACATCTGCAATGGTCGGAAGGCAAAAAAAAACAAAACAGGAAGAACCTCACTCAGAAATAAAGACGCAGAGCCCATGCCTCCTGCTCTCAACCCGATGCCAAGGCTACGCATCGATAAAACAGTTACTTCATCCTAGACCACTGCAAGTAGGCTCGCGGCCGAAGTCCAAGCATTCCCCACAGATACACAAACAAAAAAACCAATGGGTGGTGATTCTAAGATCAGTCCACCAGCGCGTGCATGCTCCACTTCCACTCGAACAAGAAAAAAAACAAGAAAAAGACAATACGATTTACTACCCTTCTTCTCATGATAAAAGAAACCACTCACCACGTCGGGGCTGATGAGCTGCAGCAAAAGGCCCAACAGCGCGGCCTTCGCCGCCTTGGGCACCAGCGCAGTGTCAAGCGCGTCGAAGAGGTTTTGTCCGGACATCTCCATGTTGATGGTTGATTTCCCGCCAATGCCCGTCTCGTGGCACTCCTCGCTGTTGTGGCGCTCTTGAACAGAGCGCTTACCCAGGGTGCGGAAGGTCGTGGTGCTCGCCCCGGTCGAAGTGGAACCACCGCCCGTGGGACCACCGGACCTGTTACCGCCACTGTATGATGTACCAGAAGCTGAACTCTCGTTGCCGTTGATGCCAGTCGACACACGTCTGGATTTAGCCTGGTGTCTTCCTGCGCTCTGATCCGATGACACACCACTGGTTGAACCGCCACCTTCCGAAGAACCAGCGCCAGGCCACCCGGAGGGCGCACCGCCCGAGGCACTGCCAGAGCCGCGGCCGCCAAGTAGACCGNACGGCCGAACCCTGTTATGCTGTGCAAGTTGTGAACGGGACTGTCACTTTCCACCCCCAGCAGCGAGCACCATTTATCGCGTGCATCTTCAAAAAAAATAAAAAACGGCCGTGTTCGCTGTACAGCAGTAGATTGCTGGACCATCCGTATAATAATGCTGGGGCTGTACCCTAGAGGCTAAACACACCTTACAAGACT